AACCCTAATGTAGGAAAAACTAAGAAAGACCGTGAGCCGCAAGAAAGAGGTGGCAGAGCACGGTTGTACTGCTGCACCAGCGACCGAAAATCGCCCGATAAGGCCAATTTTTTTTTGTTTCTCTCTGTAAGACACCCCCTAACCATGATTTAAACACATTCCCACCAAGAATTGGCCAAAACTGGTGTGACTAAGCGGAAGTGTCGCCAGAGAAGAAGGACCAGACGGCAGACCACGGTGTCGGCGCCGCGATAGAACCCCAACCCGGCCCCCGGTGAGATTTTTGTCATTTTTTATCGTTCCTCATGTATTTTCACATTATTTTAGCATACGTTACAATTTTATCAGAAAATTCAAGAAATCTAAGAATCGGGAACTGTCGAGAGACGGAGTAAAAAAGACGGTGTTCTGGACACCAATTCAGGTTAAAAATCTCTCACTCTTTTTCTCTGTTATGGTTAAATTAAAGCTAAATTGATATAAAATTGAAATTTTAGATAATTGATGACCCAGTAATTAATTAAGTACAAGTTGTCAATGGAGCCAGTAATTAGTCAATTTATACTTATTATTAGTTTAATTGTGTTAGTTATTTTTGTAGTCGTTTTATTGTGCTTATCTATTTGTTGTTCTATTTACTTTAATTTATTCAATTTAAATCTATGGTTAACATAATATAGTTTCTTAATTTATGTTTTCTGTTTCTCTACTTTGTGCATAACACGTTTCAGCTAGCATAATGCATATTTCACTCTCATACTCTAAAATATAAATTTCATACTCTTGTGTTGCTTGGGATACAAATATACGTATCGTTTAAGGCTAAATAGTAAATAAAAGAAAGGATATGTGTGAACTAATGGTGTTGAATAAAATAGCTTATTGGGTATCATAGGAAATAGTGTATGAACTTGGTGCATAGGGTGAACCTTACCGTAAACGTTATTCTCAATCGTGCAGGGTTGGGAAGTTCTATAATGGACGGGGTATTGAGGCGGTTGTGTGTTGTGGCGCCCATTATCGAACGAAGCATGAGAACGACTGTTTGATTACAAAGAAAATGTTCGTGTCCACGTGTAGGGGGGTTCCCTATGGATCCCCAGTGACACCGGTAGGAAAAGGTAAAATGATAGAGTAGAGATGAATATGGTAGGGAATTTGATTTTGGAAAATAATGAATGGTCAATTATTATATGTCATTTGA